GAGTCGACTGTAAACTACGATTAAAGTTCGAAACGCCCGCCGTGTGCCGCACGGACGTTATCAGTAGCTCCATTCGTAACGGCCTGCACCTCCTCCCTCCGTCCTACATTCGTCAGTGATAAAACGTGCCCATATTATTCTCTATATCGCCGCTATCTCGCGAAGACAAGCTATTATGCTTCTCGAGAAATATCACCTTATATCGCGCTCTTAGCGGCAATCTTCCGACTCCTCCGCACTTGTAATCGAAAGCGCGAAGCGCGCGACGAAGCATCGCCCCTCGGCGCGTCGTCGCGATCACGCTGCGCGGCGGCAAATCTTGCCGATATATTCTTCGCGATGGCCGCTCGCGATGCTTTCTCGTATTTTTCTCGTGGTATCGCTCGCGCGTAACTCATCCTTTATTCCCGTAATTTAGATATTCAGCTCGACGGTGAAATATTTCCCGCCCGCCGGCGTCCGTGTTCTCTTTCCTCCGCCTTCGCGGCGGAGGCGTTTTTCTCCCTGCGCGTGCCGCTGGAAAGCCCTGAAAATCAAATAAAAGCCATAGCGTAAATCCCTTTTACGCCGAAGCACCGCGGATGCATTCTCGCCTAACGAGCCTGCTGGTCGCGCGAGAAATCATGTGGGAAATGGTCAGCGCTCTCGCGCGCTAACCCGCAATTCCTAACCAGCGAGCCTCAAATTTCGCTCGGCTCTCGCGCGAACGATTTACACGGGGCAACGAAGCGTGCGCACATTCGATCGTCACGAAACTCCCTCCCCCCTCCCCCCATCCATCCTGGCCTCTCTCTCTCTCTCTCTCTCTCTCTCCCCCCTCCCACCCCCTCCCAGGCATTGATTTTGCCGCACCAATCAAGAGAGCTTGGTGCGCCGCTGGGAAAGGAGACGGAACGAGATAGAGCCCGGTTCGCTGGATCGGAATCCAGCGGCTCGTGTAACTCCGATGGAATCGAAAGGTAGTCGTTTGGAAGGAATCCGGACTCTCCCCCGCGACATCCTGTGTCCCGCGACACCATGCGCGCCCTTTCCAACTTAAACTCGGTCCTTTGTACTTCGTCCTTTATCCGCGGCTTTCTGTCTGTCCGACCAACGGCCATCCCCGGACGCTCTTCTCTCAATGTAGGTCTGACGCTGACCGGAAGATTCTACTTTGCGATTCTCTACCCCCGCCTCTCTTTCTCGCGTGTGTGTGTGCGCGCGCGCGCGCGTACCCCTTTATCCTGTCTGATTGTACTTTCATGCAAATGTATTTAATGGTCTCTGTGCTCTTTCTTCCCTTGTTCCTTTTTTCCGCAAGGCGCACACGAATTATTGCAAATCCGGCTTTCCCGCGGTGTTCCGCGTTATCTCGCGTTATTTCCGTCCGCTTTTCGTCCGCTCGCGCGCCGCTCGGTCGTTTTCCGAGCAACTTCGCTCGCTCGAGGGGATATCGTGCGAAAATCAAACGCGCGCTCTCTGTCTGCCGGCTCGAGGTGCAGCCTCGAGGGGGGTGGTGGGCTCTCGCGTGCCTGTCGCTGTGCAATCGCGTGCGCGACGGCGAAGTATCGCGGCCGCCGCGATTTAATCTCCTCGCACGCGCGACTCGTCCCACCTGTCGTAATTTTAAGCGGGGCCGCCGCGCCATTATGCGCAACGATGCCTCAACTGTTGCATGCGAAGGATTAATTTCACGTGCCGACGCGAGGATCTTGTTTGCAATTTCTTGCCCGGCGGATATTAGCGCGGCGAAATCTCCGGGCCTGAAATTTCGCCCCTCCCTCCGCCGCGCGCCCTGTGCCGCCACGGCCGACCTGCTCGGCCACCCCGATTCGCCCCCTGTGTACATACCAGCCACGTGATCCCGGGGGAGATCTAAAGTTCCAACCATTTCTTGCCCGGCAGGCCAGGTCGCCGAGAGATGATCAATGCCGCAGCCCTCGTCTCACCCCCCCTCGAGGGTCCCTCCCTTCGCGATCGATACGTTATGCATCGAACAGTCCTTGAAAGGTCGCGCTAGAGCCGAGAACTGCGCGCGCGGATCTAGCCGTGACGTTACGAACGACCGTCGTTAATTCATGTCCGAGTTAACCATCGTGCGTTATGGATCCGCGCGCAAGGATCACGGATGTGATATCGGCACCTGCTTTCCCAACGAGGCCATCCCCCGTGAATGCCGCGCTCTGAGAGCGTATAATTCAATTGCTCTTGGCGTGTTTGCGCCGTCCTGAAACCGGCCGGCTTGTGACGTACGAATACGAACGTACGAATACAAAGTGGGTTATTTTGACGAGTTCTTCTGCCGTTGCACAGCGACGTGCGATAACACAGGTGCCGCCCCCCCCCCTCCCCCCCATTACTTATTCATTAAATACATAACGATCCACCTGACCTGGCTCGACTTGGCGATTCGGTTTGAACAAAGTTACGAGAACGACCAAGACCTCGGGCTTCTGCGCAGCCCGAGGAGAAAAGAGAAGAGAAGAGAAGAGAAGAGAAGAGAAGAGAAGAGAAATCTTGAGTAAAAGCTCTCGCGCGCGCTGCGGGATCCGCCGGGATCTTGGCCTAATATTACAAAAGTTAATTCGAGCTAATGTACGGATAGCTGTGTTTCTGGCTCGGCCAGGGCCGAAATGTCTCTCGGCGCACGTCTCCTCGGTTTTTGACCCCCGAGGCTCTTTCCACGAGTCCCTTACACCGCCGTCCACATTGGCGCGCTTCATTGGTGTAAGCGCAAGGTTAGGTTCCGCCTGAAGTTACGGTATACATCCCCAGCCACTTTCCCGGCCACGCCAAACTTTCGGAATTTAGCGGACCGAAATTAATTAACGGAAGACAATGTTCACCTGTGCGCGACCGCCAAATTGGCCCGCTCCGCAGGCAGTTGGGAAAATTCAACGACAAGTGCAACGTCGTTGCTGCGATGATCAACGCTGCGCGCGAGAGCCGCGTATTTGCTAATGCCGTTTCACCTGGCGCAACGTTATTCATAGGATTGTTCATTCCGCGGCTTATTTCCCTCGCAGAGAAATCGCACAATGAAATCTCCGCCTTGGCTCTGCAACCGGATTGCGGCTTACGCGCCGCAATGTGGCGAAAAGTGAATTCCTATCGCGATTCTTGGGCGCGCGTTGCGGCTAATTCTTATCTTATCTCACGTGATGAGATAGAAGCGTTTGTATCTATCTTCCGTACTCATTTCCCGCCGCGTGAGGGAATCCCGCGCGGTAATTGTTTCTAAATCGTGAGCGAAGTGCGCGCAACGCAGAGCTTACGGCTAAATTGACACAACGGCGAAACGCGATTTTCCGCGTCAACGTTGGCGCGAAACTTGCTTTACCGCTCTCTGATCGACGTGGAATAATTTATTCTATCGATTATATCCGCTCGAGTGCCACAGTCGCGGCGTATGCGAGCGACATGCCGAAACTTGCTTAAAATCGCCACCGACGCAGCACAATTTTTAATGTTGGAGCCGTCAAGCGCGGGAGTGGCGCGAAAATCCGTTAAAATTGTCGCTTCGAATGTGCCGCTGAAAACGATGACGTAACTGTCTCCTCGTAAGATGTTGAGAGAGCCCTCTCGCTATTAATGTTACCTCTGCGACGCGTTTACTTTCATTTTTTTTCCCAGAGAATCAATTTGCATTTTTATCAGAGCCAAGAGAGACACAAATTATTTTCGCAAAGCAGTAGACGGGTGCACGCAGTTTTTCTCAAGCTGTAAAAGGGATTGAGATAAATGCGGAGGTAAAGCCGACGTATCTCGTAATTGATTTTACCCGCGAATCGGCTTTCTCCCGCACGAAAAGGGCAATTGCATTTGTTTAACTTATTAATTTTATGGTGTTTTCTCTCGCCCGCCGCGCGTTCGTTCCGCTATTCTTCACACTCTCCGTTTAACGACTGACGAGACTATTTTTTGTTGAGGGTCTTATGTCAGTGATTCGCAAAAATTCGTCGGATCACCGACGATTTGACGAGTTATTTACTTTTCTTTTATGTGGAATTAGACAATTACCTGAGAGGATGGTAGAAGGTCATTGCTCGACTAGAAATTTTGATCAGGTTCACCTAACATCGATAAGGACCTAATAGAGTGAATGAAAGGTAAGGTCCTAAGTAAGTCAGTCCTTACAATGTCCTAACGACAAATGAGTAAGGAAGACCTTTATAAGGTTGTAATGATTGAGTCCACATTAGGACCTCAATGTACCAACCTAGTGTATGATGGTTCAGTTAATCAGGTCCTTGTCTTATTCATTGTACCTAATATGATTTGCATTATCATGTTTTAACAAAACAATTTTTGGGTGTCATTTCCAAATGTAAAGATGTTTGCATTGAAGAAACACTCCCGATCACTTGAATATATTTGTAAAATGCTGTAGAAACTATCCTTTTTTTGAGCAATCAATAAATAGTTGTAAAATTAACGTGACATGCAACTTTTTGTCTTTAACACTACTTTATGTCTTGTCACCTTTTGTGATACTTAATGATCTTATGATACTCATTTTATGTTTCTTTTCCGAAACATTTTACAAGTATGCTCAAGCGATCTAAAATATTATTTCATGTAAACATCTTTTTACTTAGAAATGACATGAAAGAACTCTCAGCGTGTCATTTCTTATTTCTGATGTCACCATCCAATATAGCCGTGGCGAGTAATCAGGAGCCATAATTTGAAAAAAGAACGTAATAAGGATTCCATAAAGTAACTCAATAAGGACCTGACTACGAATCCTTCCTAAAGTCCTGATATCCACGCTGCGTTACATGACTTACTAGGACCCCTTATAGTACTACCTTATTGGGAGCTGATGTGGTTAGCAAATGAGGTTAACCTGATCAGGACCATGGGATAAATTTCTAGTCGGGCGGGTAACGATGACGAATGCTTTAATCAAGCGCGTCGCTTTGTTACCGTCAATGATAGAATTACGGCCAAGAGTCTGGACGAATCTTCGCGAGTGTCTGATATTAGTCCCTCGATACGATACGGTAGTATCGACCTACCTTGACCCAGGTTTCGTGTTTGAATCCCACCGGTTCCCGGATCACACTCGACTCCCTCGTTCGCACCCGTTTTACAGCCTTTGTCGAACACTCGTAGTTTCTTCCAAGAAACCGCCGCCGTGTCTCGCCGCGTCCTCCTGCAAGGAAGAAGAAGAACAACCGCCATCAATCTCGGTCGCTCGAACAGGAGTTTGCGAGTTGCTCGATCGCGCCGCCGATTTCGAAGAAAGTTGCGGAATCCGCAAGCGGAAGCGAGGCGCCGTCGTTTTACGCGAATAAAGACGTCAATAACGTCACTCTAGACGACGACGACGACGACGACGACGGCGACAACCAGAGCGCGCGCAAACAATGTCGCGATGCCGCCTCTTGCGACGTGCGTCGCGCGCTGAATTGCAGTTGAGCTTAAGCAAATTGCCGCGGGCCAGGCTTGTTACGCGCTTAGCCCGTCAAGGAACCGGCCGGAAGTAGTTTCGGAAATGCGTATGCGGAATCGCGCACGCTAACAAAACCGATGTTTGCGCAACCGTAGCAATAATTCAGCTCATACGGCTGTAAAAGGCTGGAGTGTTGTGTCGGAGTAAACGTGTCACGGCGGGCGCAATTATTGTTCCGTTAATCATGCGCATGATGTATACAGTGTCATCATTTGTTAAGTAGCAACACACATCGCGTCTAATGCCGCACGGGGGCCGCTAATAATATTTGCGTTTCTATGGTTACACGCGTGAGACCGCGCTGTTTTACCGGGTTTACGTCACACATCACGATGCGCGTGTATGGAAGAAATAATGCGAGTAAAATTCACAAAATCACGCAGAACCCCATTTGCGCTCTTGCCGCTGATGAAACGTCGGCGCGGATGCGCGCACAAAGAATTTCTCTCTGAGAGAGGATGAATTCTCTCTCTCTCTCTCCCCTCCCCTCCCCCCTCTCTCTCTCTCTCTCTCTCTCTCTCTCTCTCTCTCTCTCTCTCTCTCTCTCTCTCTCTCTCTCTCTCTCTCTCTCTCTGTCTACCTCTCTCGCTAAGAGAAAGTAATTTCAATATCTCGCGCGTGTGTACCATCGACACGTCGCCAACCTGCTTCGTAATTTCAACGGCAGGCTCCACGGCTCGCGTGATACGATTCGTATAGCATATACCGCGAAAACATCGCTCGGGGAAGCTTTATATCAAGGATCCTCAAAGAGCGGAAAATAGCGACGCGCCGCACGCCTTCCCATCTCTTCCGCGCGCGCGCGCGCGCGCGCGCACGTTGCCGTATTTTCGTCCCGTTCTTCTTGTTTCATTCGGGACTCTCCCCGACCCGTCACCCTTCTCGACGTACTTTATCGTTGGGAGCAGTTCATGTATCCGCGCGTAACGCCGTGTAATTCTTCTTCTTCTTCCTTTTTCGCTCCTCTTCTTCCTGACAAGGATCCTAGATAGAGATAGTGGAAATGAGATTTCCAGGAGCAATTTGTAGCGAATTTGCCTGTAAAAGGGTCGAGGTGGAGGCCGGGTTCAAAAACGAAGGGGGCGGTCGCGTTGGAAGAACTACGACGACGACGACGACGACGACGACGACGACGACGAAGAATAAGCAGAAGAAGAAGTAGAAGAGCGACACTGCAGAATGGACTGCTTTATTACGGCGACCATTCAGCGTCTCGGATTTTTCCGCCGAGTCAGCTTTGCATTGTGCGCCGTCCGTAGTCTTCGAGAATTCGCGCAGCCGGAGCGATCCGAGGGAGGATCGTTCGCGCGGCGTATAACGCGCCTGTGCAAAGCATAACCTTTCGTGTGCTTGCGGAGACCTTAAAGTCATTTAAGCCGCATTAAGACTCAGAGATGTTCAGGGCAGGACGAGAGCCAACGAGGCCAGCGCTATATATCCCGAGCGTAATCCGACATATCTTTCGCCCTAATCCTCTCGACCGGTTGCTCTCGACGCGGAAGTTGCGCGCAAACCTTCGTCCGATCGAAGAAAATTGCGCTATTCGAGCAAGTCGGTCGAGACGGAGCGGAACTCGCGTCGCGTCGCGTGTGCTCTCGAGTGTTCGTCAATAAGGACGGGAAATGTAAACCGCGCCGCGAGCTGCGAAGCTGCAGGCGAAGCTCTCGACCGCGCGAGCGAACGAGGGATGAATGAAATGATTTTCAAATTAACCGGAATAAAACGAAGCCGTAGCGGGGGGAAGAATCTCGATTCTCGCGGCCTATTGTCCGGCGAATGGCGCATTAAACCGTAACAATGCTTCTCGCGCGAAGCTGTAAATTTTCCATCGCTCCATCGGCGGCATCTTTTTAAAGCTTCGAACGAAGATTGATCGACGAGACGTGATGTAGTTACCGCGTGACATCTCGTGGGGTGCGAGAATCCCGTCGAATAACGCACTCACGATGCACGATGTTCCACGAGTGTCGTTGAAATTTCAAGTACGCGTGTTCCGTCGTGTCGCGTGTAATTGCTCGTCGACTTGCACGAATCGCGTTACAGCTCGCGGAAACTTTGATTTGTAATTTTTACGTCGAGTCTTCAGAGCTTAACCTCCTCTTCCCCGACGTACTCGCCAGACTCGATAGAGAGAGAGAGAGAGAGAGAGAGAGAGAGAGAGAGAGAGAGAGAGAGAGAGAGAGAGAGAGAGAGAGAGTAACAGACGACTATTTTGCAGACTTGCTAAATCTTCCGCGCTCCATCTTGCTTCCGCCGATATGGGGGCTCTGTGAATTTCCATAAAATTGGGAAACCGCGGCTGCGAAACGAGCGTAAAGTCTAGAACGTCGTATAAATTCAAACTTTCGCATTCCAAATTTCTTTCCGCCGGTATGAACCACATTCTGGCATACGTAACAAGAAATTAAATTCTCGCGGGAAAGGCACTTTACGGTCTAATATAATACAACTTTCCGCACACCCGAGAGAAATAAATTCAATGTATCGACTACACCGGAGAAAAAAGAGCTGCATGAGAATTAGAGTGTAAATAGAACAGTTATCTGCTCCCGAGTGGCACACAAGAATTCCAATACGAAGGAACACAAATGAAATACAGAGGCAATCTAGGAGCACAAATCAAATATTCATTCTAATGTCGAATGTTTCTCTTCGGTATTTTCGCGTCCAATACCGCGTTAAGCTCCGAAATTTATTTTCGTACGTGCAACGTATCGTAGGAATTTCGGTAACAACACGCCGAGATCACCCTTCGGAAAACAGAGACTGTTTGAAGTAAAGCTCGCGTGTAAGTACACGTCGATTTTCGCGGCACACAGCCGGCCAACTTTGCGAAAATAAAAATGTAAAAGTTCCCGACGGGATCGGAAAGCCGCGCGACAAGTCACCCAGGTTGAAGCAAGAAAGAGCACTTTGAAGCTGGCTTGGTGTACCATTCATTCGAGCGGGTGATTTTTCCTGGTTTTTCGTGCGGCGACGGCAATCCAGCGGTTCCAATCGCCGGTAGATCTCTGTCTTTGAGTTCTTCTGTTTGTTTAAGTCGCCCTTGCTCGTGAGGACTCGATTGTCCAAGTGCGATTTAATCAATTAGAACTCCGATATTGCAATTGCTGGATTCAATTCAACTGAGTTACCAATGAATGAATGATCCGTCGCGTAAACTCGCTAAATTCCCAACTGCTCGCTGTTTTAAATCACTACTGACGTGACAAACTGACTCTTTATAGAGGCCAGACTCTTGTAGAATTTCTCGGCGAGTGTGACGATAATATGATTCAACGTAAAGATAATCTGTTTATGAGCGAAGAGAGAAAAGGTGTATTTCTTCTCTATTGACACATCGCGAAGGAACCTTTTGTGCAATTTTACATCTTTATGCGTAAGTCTAGTGTTTCACCAGACTGTAATAGCTTGGGTTTAACATTCTTACCGCGGCTCGAGCGTTCCTTTCATTTCGAGTCTCTCTCTCTCTCCCTCTCTCTGCAAACCTTGTGCACACGCTCTCTCTCTCTCTCTCTCATTCATCACGGCAATTTTCCCGTTTCTTCTATGAAGAATCCAACAATTCGAATTCTTGGGGCGTGATCGTTACCACCGAGTTGCCTCCACTTTGAACATCTCCGGCAAAGTCGAACGCAGCCTCGCCTTTCATTATCGTACTTGAGACTGACTCTCAAAAACGGTGTATACGGTGTACTTACACGCGAGGAAACCCTGCGAGAGCGGAGAACCGGCAATAAGAAGTACATTTCGCCGCGCGCGCAATATTTCTTTGGCGTATCTCGGAACTTTGGGACGGCAAGAGCGAAGTTTATTCAGAGAATTCTGGAAGACCGTTGAGAAAGACACTCGTGTAATTTATGTTTCGAGATGACGGTGTATACAATCAGACAATTATTCGATTCGCATAAAGCAACTTTTTAGTTAGCGCATTATTACAGTACGACCGCGAGTCGTGTTTGGACGATTGCGTGTTTCGATCGATCGGTCGGTCTTGATTAGATTCCCCTCTATCGCATATCGATCAATAAAACGGAGAGAAGATCCCCGTCGTGCAACTATCTCCTTCACGCGATGACACTTCGGCCGCCCTGTTGAAATCGGAGACGCCGCCGCAAAAATGCCATTAATCGTCCAAGGTTAATGGCTCTCTCTCTTTTTTCTCACTATCATCATCGAGAATCCTCCGAGACGGTGCGGCACCGATAAAAGCAGTGCACAGGCACTGGTAATTGCCGTCGGCGATAAAGACGGAGGGAATAACGGCGTTTGCGAGGCACTTGCGGAAAAATACGCGGCGTGTACGGCTCGCAGCATCGTGCCGCTGCTACCTGCATTACGGCCGGTCATTTCCCACTCATTTCTGCTCCGGATACTTCGCCGGGTCTCGCGACGGAAATGGCGGGTACTTAGGCGCGCAATAACACAGCGAGAAAGCATTGAGACATCGCCAATAACGCCTTATTGCCTGCAACTGTTGAGATAACAATTTACTTATTACAATTGCAAAAGTCTCGTTGCCGATAAAACTTCCTCCTTTCACTGATGGAAGGGAATATAGTTAATCTCGCCGAAATTAGTTATTTTCAGAACCAACACACACACACACACACACACACACATACACCACATCTGTTTGTTGTTCCAATAAGGAGGCAGCAGGAGAAATATATAAAGTTATCGTTGCCACCTCGCTATAG